CATTGTGTTCTAGCTTCTAGCACTAAAGTGGGGACTCTGCACTGTTCCCCCACTTCTCTATGGATGATTGAATATTGATAATAATAGCAAAACTACGCACGTTTACTCTCCTGCTTATCGCCAGCCATTGTTTAGCAAATAGTCCACTGTTTAAAACAGCCCGCCCAATAGGAAGGGCACGTCTCACCTCTCCTCCAATGAGAAGCCCAGTATTCTAGCACGTGACCGTGCCCTCTGTTCGCTGAGCGAGCGCTAAACGCGCTAATTTTCTCAATCTCTCCGGCATGTATCGGAGGGGGATTTAGCTGTGATTGTGAAAGTCAGGTAGTTTGTGATCTCACTACTGTTAATTTACGTAGTTCTTTCATCGGTTTTAAAGCCGCGTATTCAGAACACATGCATTAGTGAATTGTGGGAACTTTCTTTTTTGTTTCGAGTTAGAGTTTCTGATTTTGTTTCTCTTTGTTTGTTTGGATGCTGGTTTCTTTGGATCCGGTGCACAAGCTACGTGCATGACCTAACACAGCACACAATGAACTCAACAAGAGTCTTCAGTACGTTCTTTGTTCGTGTGCCCTACGATTTGTCTCTATTGATAACCGTCCTTCTTGACAGCATCATATCGTCCGTTGTTGAGTGATGAGCACAGTCTCTCTCTCCCAGTCCCCCTTACCCTCAGTTCCGTTTTGCTCCTCCAGCTCCGCTCTATAAATATCCATTATACGTGCTCCTATTCGGTCCAACCTCAGGGCCGATCATGTAGCGCCACAGAGGACAGTTGACCGGTGAATGTCCTCTCTCCCAGCCTACCCTCCACATGAAGAATTGCGGCAGTGCACTGGAACGAGGGAGGCAGTGCCCTGAGCTCCTGCATATTGAGCATATGTTGGCGTGCAAGTGTTTTGTTTATCCAGGGGTGCGGCTGGGTGTTAGGAGTGTGTACTGGTGCGACTCTAACTCTAATTATCATGCTGTAGAGCTATTGAAGTTGTGTTTGGGTTGACGCTTTAGAGTTGTGATATTATAGTTTAGTTACGACATGCTGGCATTACGTATTACGTTACGCATCATTGAGGTTGTAACTTTTTTTGTTGAGTCTTTGCTGTTGTCTTTGATTTGCATTTTGCTTGGTTTGAACTTTGAATAAATTTTATCGTACATCGTTAATTTATGCAATATGCAGGTGCAATCCATTTTTAACATGCACAGTAATTATAATTTTGATATCTGTCCTTTTATTCCTTAATACCGGGTGATTGAAACATTTTCAGTTGCATATTTGGTAATATTTATCGATTCGACTTGTTAAAATTAGTGGTACACAGATAATGGTTTTGCCAATAGGGGTGAGGTAAACCGTAATTAATGGCGATTAAATTATCCGTTAAAAGTTATTCAAGTCGAGATAAAGTCACGTAATGACAAATCAGCAGATAAAAGCAGCTGGTTTGAGTAAGTTATCGCATCTACACCTCGCAAAATCCTTCCATATTTCCTTGTGTAAATACCTTCCATTTTACCCGTGTAAACTTTAATTCCAGCGATAACGTTATCTCTGTGCTGTTGTGAATGTTAAAAGTTCAGCTGAAAATTAGTGCGAGTCCATTGCTTTACATAATTTAAATCACATCTAGCAACTTCGTAATATATATATGAAAGTTAATAATTTTCGCTTAAATCACTCGTTTCATATTGAATTACTTTGAGGCCCCTCAGCTGTAGTGAATGTTTTATGTTACAGTAGAGTTCGTGGTTTGGTTATGTGGTACGTCCTGCTTCATCCGAATTTTTTAACTTTTAGCTTTTGTGGAGTTTTAGTGACGGAGATGTTTACTATTGTAAACCAAGTTGTTTATCTCAAAATATGGGATTCCTTAATTTAGAGTGTGAATTTACAACAAGGATGGCCGATAGTTAATAATGCTAAGAACAGTGATCTCTGTGATAGCGTTCACTGTAAAGTATTCCTATCACAGCTCAAGTGGTTCCGCCTAGGGGGTCTCGCCTCTCCTCCGCCAATCAGCTTCGAGTATTCCACCTCTCCTCCAATCACAGCCCAGAGATTGGGACCACGTGGCCCCTCTACCCGTGGATCACTAGCAGTAGTTTATAATTGATTGCTGTCAAGCACGATAATCAATGCTGGTTTTCAACTGTACCCTCGCCAAAAACCACTCATTCACTCTTTCACACGCGCCACATATTTTTCTGGAGATGGTCCAATCAACATCCCGGGTTATACCACGTGACCTTTTTCATCCTATCAAAAGTGTTCACGAAGATCACGTGACTGCTGTGAGCTGTGGATGTGGTGATCGTGCTGTAAATCTCCCAGCTTGCTTTGATTTGTTTGAGGTTGCGAGTATTCTCAGACTACTAAACGCAGTTAAGCATGTCCCCACCATTTGATTCTATTAAGTACTTCTTTCCCACCATTAGATTCCACCACCATTTGATTCAACCACTATTTGATTCTTGTCACCTGAGCTCTTTTCAATCACGGTCCCAGGTAGCTGGCACGCTTGACATTCCAGCAAGTTGTTTTTCTAATCCATTCTCAAATCTCAATCTGTAGCTGGTGAATCTGGCTCACATTTCGGAGTTTTGTCACTTGTCAATGAGAACAGTGCGGGACAGCATTGTCAAGCTGTGAATCTGAAGACTCTGTCAACTAATCAGCCAGCCTGTCAAATCAATGAGATAGGAATTGGGAATCCTGGTGATCACCTGATCAATCACTTGATCACGTGTTTTGCTGCCTGATCACGTGTTATCTGTTCCCCTTCAAGCCCTCGTGATTTGAAACCTGCTCCTCTGGTGTACCTATCACGTGATCAGATCTACAAAGTAAACTCAGTCTTCCCGAGTCTCAGATAACAAACCTTGGGAAGAATGTCTCGTCTACTACTGGACACCTTATCTCGGACAGTATAACTAGGTTGCATTCGTAACAAGTCCTCATTATTGTTCGTCACCAGGCGTTTTGCGTTGTTCGAAGAGAAAGAGATTCGTCATATTTCTGCCATGCTGAACGTTGTGGTTGCTTTTGTTTCATTCACACTTTTATTGTAATGTTCATCTTTGCTCGTCACCCGTGGTTTGTACGTGCACGGTAGATTCGTCATTACCTGCTAGATAATGGAAACTTTTCTGATTTTGTTTTCGCTCTTCAGTTTTATTGTTTGATCGCTTCATTCCTTCTTATTATTTAAATATTCATAAGATCGTAATATCCTTGTCGGTACTACAGTCATAACTCGCCAAACCCACTCTTTTCCTACATCTAATTCCACGGTTCCTTTGAACCTTTGTGCACTCCACCTAAATATCCGTTACACATCTCAGATCCTTAACCTGGTGATTAGCACTGGTCAGTGGTCATATATTCTCGATCCTTGTGATCATTGGCCCCCTAAAAATAGAACTGTGTCACCCCCACCACGTACCTTTCAACTTACCCTCTTCACTCTGATCTAAGAGTGTGAAGTAACATGCTCTAAGTTAATGGTGGTGTAGCCAGCTTATCACGGTCATCACGGACGAACGGACGGACTCAGCCATTGTTGCGTATTGTTACTTTGAAAAACATTTCTGTGTGTGCTTACATTCGATTTTGTTGGGTATTTATAGATTTACAGTGTTAACAAGTAGTTGCCTTGTGGTAAGCAAGTTTGTTAAATTTAATGTTTCCTTTGTGTTTACGGCTCATAAATTATCATTGTAATGATTGTCATAATTTCTGATTAATCATTATAATGATAATTATACAATCTTAACCCTTCGAACATAATTGCAAAAAATAAATGAGCTTGAAGACTATGAGGCGTCAAAGTTATTCTTTGTTCACAATACAGCACGCTTATTTCATGCCCTTTATTTCTCCAGAAGTCAAGATAGATGTTTAACACCCGCTTGTAACTGCGATAATCCGCCATTTTAATTTATCATATTATTTACATATCAGTAAGCTAACTTTAGTTTAAACAGACATATTTCACTTGCTTGACAAGCTTGATTTTCTTGCCCTTAACAGTTGAAAGATGCTTGCGCAGAAAAGAAAAGCCTAGATTAGTTACATCTCGAAAGAGATTTAAAACCCAATAGGGTCAATCGTTAGTCGTTACACATGGTAATTAAGTTTAACTTTCTTTAAACGCGTACATTGCAGCTGCTTGATAAACTTGACGAATTTAATTAAAAACTTCGGCTTTTTCTCCAGAAGTTGGACAATAGTAAAGTTGTCCGCCACTCAAGTTGAAGCAGGGAGCGTGATCGATCTCTTGAGAACCGTCTCCAGGATCTATCCCGATTTAGAGTCAAGTGCACGGCCACCCCACTCTTAGTTCTGCCCACAGTTCACTCTCACTTCACTCCCTTTCGGCACAGCTGTAAGTTGACACAAGTTCTCCACGATCACATATTATTCACTGTACATTATTTATGCTAGCTTATGCGATATATGATGTGTTTTTTGTACTCATGATGAAGCCGACTCTTCACTCCTCAAAAGCTTGTCATAGTCAGCATCGTGAGCGTTGCTTGCTTAGTTGACTCCGGTATATATTTTTAGCAGGCCACAGTATAACGTCGTGGTAGTCTTCACACTCTCGGTAACTTAGTGTTGTTTGGGGCGTGTGCTACGAGCAGCACGAGCTTGGAGGTGCTAAGTGTGCGCCACGTGATCAGAAGTGAGGGTCACGTGATCAGAAGTCAGGGTCACGTGATGGGGACTCGTGCAGCGCGCCACAGTTCCGGGAGAGTTCACACGTGTGATTTAGTTGTCTCGGAGCACGTTGGTGTGCTGATATCATAATAACCGTGGGAATTTTGTTGATTGCTTTTCAAGTAGACAGCGGTCGTATAAAGTGGGTGGCATTTTTCATTCTTATCATTCTTGTTTCTTTTCTTGTTCAGGAAACCTGTCCTTAAATTCTAAAAGGATGACTATGTTCTATTGATACTTCAATTTTATTCATTGTTCTCAACAATTCTTATTCATATTTTGCTTAATTTGCATGGCTATAACGCTGTGTCCATACTCCTGGTATACTTAAACTATTAAACTAACCAATCCACCTTTTGTAGCTATACCACAAACCATGACCTCGATGGCTGAGACGTGCATTAAGAAGCCTCCACGACCTTGGTCTGCTGACATAAACTACAAAAGGAACGTGGAACCTGACCAGAAGTGTTACACCACACGCAGTGATGTGACTTACGATAAATACGGTATGTTTCTCTTCTTTCTGATATTATGACTGATAGACTGGGCATGCTCGGTTGTTTGTGGTTTCTCTTTCTCTTGATCTGTGATGAAATATACTGGCAAATTATTTTAGAAATTTATCTGTATCTTTTTACTAACCCTTCTCTTTACAGGTCGAGGTCGCGATCACGGGAAGGTTAAGTCAGGAGAATGCTGTGGAAACGAGTGTAACAGCGGTGTTCCCTCCAACCCACCACCAACACCAGTCAACCCCGTCATCATGAGACCTCCACAGGTAATTATTTAATTTGTCACTGATTATTTAATCAAAAACTTTAGAATATTATCTCAACTAAAGCTTAGTTGAGATAAACTAGTTCATTGTAACATTATCTTACCCTCTTGCTCTCCCACAGTTACCCGGAAGACAGCCTCTGACATCAGATGAAGGACGATGCATTAGACTCCGAACCATATCTCACTCAGCTCCTCCTCTCAACTTCAAAACCGTCTGGAACCCACTTTCTGAAGTAAGTTTCAAAACGTAAATAATTCATGAGACATGTCTTCATTTTTTATGCTGACCCTTCTTCTGTAAGGCAATCGCTGGATCAATGTTTAGTTTTTAATTTAACTGTTAAGCTGTAGAATACATTTCTCATGTGAAACTAAACTAACCCGCCTCCTTCCCTTCAGCGACACCCAGGAAGTGCGTTTGACGTTGTGTCCAGCAGTGCAAGTTCCTCCCGGACATGCAGTCCTGACCAAGTAGAGTCCCGAGCTGAACTGTGCGTTTCTTATCCCGACTTCGACTACGTTAACCCGATCATCAAACCTATCCCAAGAAAAGGAACCAGGACCTCTTTCAAAGTACCGACTAAGGTATGTACCTTATTTTTATTGAACACCTTTTGTTTTGCTACTTTTCTTCTCTTTCCAGTGCTCTATACGTCACTAAGTGTTACTGGTTTGTTTACTTATCTTATTCATTAAGCTTGTAAATCTTATCTAACGGTTTCCTTTCCCCAGATCTCCGAAGACCAGAAAGAAATGCTCAGCTCTGACGAAGAAACGCTCCCTGACCGACTCTTCCGAGAGAACATGGAGAAAAGCAACAAGATCCTTCAGAAGAACATCATGATGCTAGAGGAAGAAGCAGAGGAGGATGAGGAGGAATGCGACGGTGAAGCGCTCACTCTACCAGACAAACTCTTCAAAGCACACATGGCTAAACAAGCGATGGAGAAAGAGGGAGCCCTCACACTTGACGTGAAACCCAAGATCATCACCAAGAGCCTCGGCTCTAAGAACGGCTCGATCAGAAACGGACTCAAGGATAAATTCGTCCTGAAAATCATCGAAAACTTCAACGAACAATCGAACGTCCTGAAAGAGTTGAGCAACATGAAGCTCGACTCAAAAGACGTGAAGCCGAAGAAATCGAAGAAGAAAAGTCTGAGCACGTTAAAGAAAACGTGGTCCTCGATCATGAACTTAGCGGTGGGTGTTCCAGGCGGCGTGGAACACGCTCAAAGTAAAGACAATCTCAGTAACATAACCAACTCAAAACAGAGGCACCTGGACTCGCTGTACTCCGAGTCCATGTACTCCTCGCTCGTTGGCGACATATATAAGAGCAGGAGCACGGCCTGCATCGCGGCTTTGTAGGGCGCTGCACTTTCAGAGCTCTTATATGTGTTGTTTTTTTGAGTGAATTTTGAATATTTCGTGAAAAATTATTAGGAAAATCTTTTTAGGTATATTTGTAATTTATTGTTATGTAATCCTTATGATGATGATATATAATGGTGGATAAATATATTCGATTGATTGTTTTCTAGAAAAATTATTGATGAGAGAGCAAGTTAAAGTTATAAGCTGCCGTAAACGCGGGTTTTTAGTTAAAAACCACCAGTTTTAAATTGATCTAGGACTAAGCACTGACCATGTGAAAATCTATTGCATGATCCGCTCCACAGCTTCACTTAAGTACTATTTTACTATTATGTGGTTAAATAAAGTACTCTGTGATAGCTAATTTTCCCATAGAAAATTCACAACCGTGGCTGAATAACTCGCAGTTACGGCACTGTAACAAGTATATTATAGTATTTGTTAAAGTGACAATAATTGGTGTGTGTGAGTGTGTGTAACACAGGTGGCGTTTACACTGTACGATTTATACGAGTCATATTTTCACACGAGAAGCTGAGAAGGCAATCAAGCATCCTTTCAGGCCGCATCTTTATGTGCATTTTAAACATTTCTTCTCTTTTTTGAGCAATCATTACATATGTGATGATATCGTGTGATGATGCTTTTTATTCTCCTATAATATATTAACGGTCACCTGACAAGGAGGGTTGAAATAGTAATGCCCCGGTTTTTTTCACAAGTCCATTTAGAATTTTGCAGTTTCCTCGTAGTGAAAGCTCCATGATTTGTTGAGTGCAGTTATTGTAGCTCTTGAAGATTATTTGATTTCGAGAAAACCATTCTCTGTGTTTCAAGTTCACGGTAAACGGGATGTTGGTTGTTGACATGCGGTATCCCGTACTGCTGTGACTTGAAGCGATTGTGGTTTGTATAGATATGTTAACGATCCTTATTTTGGATTGAATTTTATTTGAAAAAATAGTGTTTATATTTGATGAAGAGTAGGATCTTTCGATTTAATGTTTGGAAGAGTTTTTTTCCGAAAAATCTTCCCCTGTGTTTGTTATGTTAATGTTAAGTGCCATATGTGAAATTGAATTTTCCCGGCTGATTTTTGGGTTAATCATGTCATGTAGATTTTGGTTCCTGAATTAATGATTTTTGTAATTTTGACATTGCGTGGTAGCTTCTCAAAACTTTGTGGTTGGTTTTCTCACCAACTATGTCCTAGATTAATTTATATTTGTTGACACATAATTGCAGACATTCTTTTAGTAGAACATTTCCTATGGCTCAATGGTTTAAAATTAACAGTCGTCTTAAGATGCACCATCAACTTCATGATATGCACATATTATGTAACGAGATGATTTATCATATTTCCTCGTTATGTTGAGATTTTATGTTTACAACTCTAACTTCTTCCGAGAACATGCATTTAACTTTGATGGTGCATCTCTTATCAGAGTGTAATGTAAAAGGTGAATCGCACAAAATGTATCAATTTTTAGGTTTCAAAATTCATTCAAATGTTAGGTAAATTTAAAATGAATTGCGATTATACTATGATCTAGTTAGCAACTCACATTTCGAAACTTCAATAACATAATATATACTTTGTTTCATTTGTTAAACAGCAAAATAAAAGTACAGCGAATATTACAGGAATAAAAACATGCATATAATTATACTTATTAAATTATATGTGATTATAATTTAATCTAGCTGACCCTAGTGATCTCACACTATTTGGTAAAAGCATTAATATAATATTATGTAATGCAGTCAAATATATGATTTTACCGGCGAAATTTGATAACAAAGGATTTTTAACAGGAGAATGTCCGGAAGTTCCTAGACATAAATCCAAAAATACCACCTCCTTACTAATTACTAACCACATTTATCTTTTATCTTGGCTTTGAGACATTGCATTTGCAGGGACGTCTAACTCTAAGTGGGGAATCGTAACATATACAACTTTTACAAGTTTTAGTTGCTCAACAAGTTTTACTGGGCGGCGCTCAGCCTGTCATTCCGTCTAATCTCTATTATGAACATAAATATAATAGCCTGGGCTCCCCCGGTAAAACAAGTTATGAACAAACTTGCCAGGCGCACCTATTCCTATGCGCGGCGCTCTTTTCGAGCTTCTTGCATTGTGCATGGCTCATATACGTGAGAGAAGCGAGCAATAGATTAGCAAGCTAGCTAGGTAATGAACAAATATATCTACTATTACTAAAATAAAACTTTCAGGTAAAGTCGCTGAGAACCGTTGCGATTATACAACGAATAACACTATAAAAACCGATTTTATTATGAATCGACTAACGCGAATGACTTATAGTTTAAGTTATACTTATAGTTGATTCACGATGTCAATCCTTCGCATCTCGCCGATCTGCATACGGTTGCGAGAAGCATTATTTGATGCGCGCGCGACCCAGTAGTGCATCGCGCTACAATACTTATAGTTATACTTATAGTAGGGGGTGCACGATAAAAATAAACTTGCTCGGATTTTCAAAATTTTTGTACCATTGTTTACTGTGAGAATTTTCACGGTACCAAATTTGTCATACCTTTTTGGAATGATCAGTGAGTTTCGCCTAGGTGCCATATTTGATGGTGCGCGGCTTTAGCAAGCAAAATTGAAAATTAGGTGTAAAAGTCGCGTAATTTCAAATTTGCAATTTGACGAAATTCGTTGATTTGTGTCGTATTATTCTGTCAAGTCTTCGGTTCCTGAACATGAATCATGCTGAAAATTTGTCAGAACCTTCTAATCATACTTAACTACCGAACCTAATTCAGTTTGGAGAGATTGGCCTTGATTAAGAAGTCTAAAAATGATAAAATAGGTATAAATTCGTTGATAACTCAAATTCTAACCATCGAAATTGCTCAAACTAATTATTATTAAGGTTCAGTAGAACTAAAACATAAGTGTTTACGTAAGCTGACCAAATTCAAACAAAATTGTTATATGGGAAGTATTATAACTTTTTGATTGTTTCCGAAATAATGTGCTGGCCGAATTAAATACAAGCTTAAAAACCATTCAATGGTCAGCGCGCGCGTCTTACGGTCGATGGCGCACGGCCTACTTATAGTAGTAGTACTACTACTATATAGTAGGAACAAGAGAAATGCTGCAGTCTTCCTATCCGGATCCGGATAATTGCTTTTCTTTTAGCACATCTTATATCTAATAATAATATCTGCAAGTCCAAAGTTTGAAGTTATGCAAAATTTAAAATACCTTCCGATTAAATTCTTCGGCGGTGCACGATAAAAATAAACTTGCTCGGATTTTCAAAATTTTTGTACCCTCGTTTTCTAGAGACTGTGAGAATTTTCACAGTACCAAATTTATTATACCTTTTTGGAATGATCAGTGAGTTTCGCCTAGGTGCCATATTTGATGGTGCGCGGGTGTAAAAGTCGCGTAATTTGACGAAATTCGTTGATTTTTGTCGTATTATTCTGTCATATCTTCGGTTCCTGAACATGAATCATGCTAAAAATTTGTCAGAACCTTCCAACCCAGGAAAAGTTACCGGTTGGTGGTGGTACTAGAGTTGGTTTAATTTAAACAGACGGCTCGACCTCGCGCGCAACAACAAGCATGATTTGCACGCGTGGCGCATTCCAATGTTCAAGTAGCTACCACGTGACACAATTCAGCCAACCAGAGTACAGGAATCCGCAAAGTTAAAGTTGCAAACTTTTGAGTGGCCCGAAATGGGACTTTTCTTGAGATTTTGAGATAACTCAGCAATTACGTTGTCTTGAATTTTCCTCCTGGAGAGGTAACGTTACTTTTAAAAGGGGAACAAGTTACAAAAAACCGGAAGTCTCTAACTCTTTTACTTTCAAAGTTAAGCCCCATCCGGTCAGGGTTTCTGGGTGCAGTTGACTGACGCCGATTAGGGTGTTTTGGCCGTTCTAACTTAAGACTTTTAAGAATTAAAGCAGCCGTATTGATCTTCCAAACCTACAACTTTCAAGGGCTAGAATCCGCTGTATTTTGCCGTTAAAAAGTTAAAACACAACTTGTACTGTTTTACTTCATGATTGGGGCCGTAATTTAAAAGCAAATTTGGCAAGAAGTGGTGCTCACGGTCTCACTTAACGTCACTTATCGCTCAGTTAAGAGCGACCAAGGTCTTGCGACAGACAGCCTGCAGGCCTATGATCCGAATACGAAATATCCTTGTGTTCGGCATTTATTAGCCCTAATTGGTTACTTAGTACCCAGGAAAAGTTACCGGTTGGTGGTGGTACTAGAGTTGGTTTAATTTAAACAGACGGCTCGACCTCGCGCGCAACAACAAGCATGATTTGCACGCGTGGCGCATTCCAATGTTCAAGTAGCTACCACGTGACACAATTCAGCCAACCAGAGTACAGGAATCCGCAAAGTTAAAGTTGCAAACTTTTGAGTGGCCCGAAATGGGACTTTTCTTGAGATTTTGAGATAACTCAGCAATTACGTTGTCTTGAATTTTCCTCCTGGAGAGGTAACGTTGCTTTTAAAAGGGGAACAAGTTACAAAAAACCGGAAGTCTCTAACTCTTTTACTTTCAAAGTTAAGCCCCATCCGGTCAGGGTTTCTGGGAATCATACTTAACTACCGAACCTAATTTAATTGGGAGAGATTAGCCTTGATTAAGAGGTCTAAAAATGACAAAATAGGTATAAATTCGTTGATAACTCAAATTCTGACCATCGAAATTGCTCAAACTAAATTAGGTTCAGTAGAATATAAATGTTTACGTAAGCTGACCAAATTTCAACAAAATTGTTATATGGGAAGTATTATAACTTTTCGATTGTTTTCAAAATAATGTGCTGGCCGAAATAAGAGCTAAAAAACCATTCAATGGTCAGCGCGCGCGTCTTATTGTCGATGGCGCACTGCCTATTAAATACTTATCACAATGCTGGCAAGCATAACCGTTGCCCTTATATTCACAACACTATGTACCCCCTATACTATTATATCCCCTTTATTGTTTTCCAGGCATTAAGACTCATCGAAAGTAGTTCAGCAGGTATATTTAAGTTCAAAACATTCTAATTCAATGTTAAAGATGACAGGAATAAGAAATAGTTATGTGGAGGTTTTTAAGAAATTTGCGCAAAATACGCGCCAGCATGTTATACGAAATTAGGTAAAAAACCCAAAATCGCCATATTCAGGTGCCTTAAAAACCATGTTAAAATTGAGTTAGAGATCTGAAACTTTGCAGAGCGTCTAGACCTTGTCCAAATCGACTGTAAAAAAAATTTCATGTTGCAGGAGTATCGGGAAGTGGGTTTTCTGGAACCCCTGTTTTACAACAGATTGTCGTGAAGCTATATATCACAATGCTGGCAAGCATTACCGTCGCCCTTATATTCACAACACTATTTACCCCCTATACGATTATATCCCCTTTATTGTTTTCCAGGCATTAAGACTCATCGAAAGTAGTTCAGCAGGTACATTTAAGTTCAAAACATTCTAATTCAATGTTGAAGATGACAGGAATAAGAAATAGTTGTATGGAGGTTTTTAAGAAATTTGCGCAAAATACGCGCCAGCATGTTATACGAAATTAGGTAAAAAACCCAAAATCGCCATATTCAGGTGCCTTAAAAACCATGTTAAAATTAAGTTAGAGATCTGAAACTTTGCAGGGCGTCTAGACCTTGTCCAAATCGACTGTAAAAAAAATGTCATGTTTCAGGAGTATCGGGAAGTGGGTTTTCTGGAACCCCTGTTTTACAACAGATTGTCGTGAAGATATATATGTATGTATAGACGCTTTTTGCAGTCAATTGTAGCCTACATTTAAGTGTCCGTAGATTCAAAAGTATAAACGATACAGTCATTTCGAACCACAGGTTTTAAAGATAATTGTTTAAGCTTTAGTTTACATTGTATTGAAAAATAATTTAACGTCATCATCATCACTTGATGACGTCATCAAGTTAAGTGTTTTTAAAACTTGACTTTTGACAAAGTAACAACTTTTTAAATCGATTTTACACTATTAAGGAGTAATTTTATTCAAAATCTGAGGACATTTTCATCTTAGATAATTGTTCAAGCATTCCGAAAATCTACCGGAATAGTTTCCTACCTTGCTCCTTCATAAAGATATTTGCTATTGAAGTTAGTGCTTTTTTGAAGAATAATTTTATAAAAACACAAAAGTTGTGAATTAGTATTCTCTGGTGTTGGGCCATCCCTTGGGTTGTGGAGCTCAATTTTGCTTCTTAAAGGTGTAAATTGTGTTATAGGCTAGTTTTAAAGTTAAAAATCGAAAAGTTGCACACGTGGGGACACGCCCAAATTCATTTAAAATCGCTAAAATCGCTAAAAATTTTGATTTTCACGATTTTTATCAACTTTGGAGTCCCGCTGTGATCCAAATTCTTTTTGAAATCTTCTGAAACTTTGCATGCTTATCAAACTATATATTAAATACCACTATGCAAAAATTTACGGTGATTCAATATTGTATGCGCACGCGACGTCCGCTCAAAGTTTGCACGTGCGAAAGGTGAGAAATTTGCTCATTCGTGATTTCGAATATATTCTGCTTTCCACGATATTTAA